ATGTACACACCCTGGCGGGATTACCAGAGGAGTACAATCTCATTCGTGAAAGGATAAAAAACTCACCTGTAAGTGGTTGGGATGAGTTGTGCGACTTATTGTTGAAAGAGGACATGCGTCTGGATCCACAGCGCTCATTAAGACTTAAACCTCCTTCTCCTCCCTCTCCTCCTGAAGAAGAAGAGTACGCAATCGGGATCGATCTGGGAACGACCTACTCCCGCGTGGCCGTGTGGCACAAGGATAATGTAGAAATCATACACAACGATCACGGCAACAGGAAGACTGCATCTTACGTTGCCTTCACTGAAACTGATGAGAATAATTTGGTAGGTGATGCAGCATTTAACCAAGTCGTCAGAAACACAGCCAACTCCATCTTTGGTACGTATGCTATGTAGGATTAAGCGATCAATTTTTCATTATAACTGCATGTTTATTCACTCATATTTCTTTATCATAAGTACATATTTCATAAACTTCTTCTAAACTATATAGTAGCTAGATTGTGAATCTAAACTACCCATCAGCTTTGCTTGAACAAATCCAAAGAATGATTTTGATTTTTACAGCCCAGAGCCAGCTAATATGATGAATTGTGGTTTAAGATTTTTTTAGGACATTAAGGGACCGGTTGGTATCCAACTCAAAAATCATGATTTTTATATATATATATATAAAAGAGCTTTTAAATACTGATTTTAGGATCTAAAAACTTGTTTGGTATTGAACTCCAAACTAATTTTAAGATTAAAAAAAATTAAAATTAAAATCAGAAACCCTAATTCCCAAATTGAAATTAACAAAAGAAAAGGGGAGAGAGAGAGAAAAAAAAACTGTAAAATTTTACTTTTTTGGTTTTCAATAATGGGGTGCATTTGAGTTTTGTTTTGGATTTGGATTTTTAAAAATGGGCCTACTAAACGGGATTTTTGAGCTTTTTGGACCTTTTTTTTTTTTTTTTTTGAGTTTATAAATTTGAATGATCCTTCCAAGGTGGGAAAAAAAAGTTTATGAATTGGATATTATATACTGACTTAACACGTGCTATCTGATAGAACTTGGCATCTATTTGCAGATACAAAGAGGTTAATCGGTAGAAGATTCAGCGACGCCTCAGTTCAAAGTGATGTGAAGCTCTGGCCATTCAAGGTCATTGAGGGTCCAGGTGACAAGCCCATGATTATGGTTACCGACAATGGCCAAGAGAAACAATGTTCTGCTGAAGATATCTCATCCATGGTTCTAGAGAAGATGCGGAAGATTGCCGAGAACTACTTGGGCTCAACAGTGAAAAATGCAGTTATCACTGTCCCTGCTTACTTCACTGACTCGCAGCGGCGAGCTACAAAAGATGCGGGCATCTCTGCTGGCCTAAATGTGTTGCGTATTATGAACGAACCAAGTGCTGCTGCCATTGCTTATGGCCTCAACAAGAAGGCCGGTTGGAGTAGCCCGCGAAACGTGATGATATTTGATTTGGGTGGTGGCACTTTAGATGTGTCATTGCTTACCATGAGCAAGTCTGGTGACTTTAAAGTCAAGGCAACGGCTGGAGACACTCACCTTGGCGGCCAAGACTTCGATAACAGATTGGTGAACTACTGTGTTGAGGAATTCAAGAGGGAGCATAAATTGGACGTTAGTGGAAATAAGAGAGCTCTTAGGAGGATAAAAAATGAATGTGAGAAGGCAAAGAAGAGACTTTCATTTGAGTCTGACATTGGCGTTGAAATTGACTGTTTGTGTGAGAATACTGATTTCACCATAACTTTTACTCGTGCCATATTTGAACAAGTAAACATGGATTTATTCATCAAGTGTATGGATCCAGTGGCAAAGTGTTTAAGGGATGCTAGCATGGACGTAAGCAGTATCGACGATGTTGTTCTTGCCGGTGGCTCTACTAGAATTCCCATTGTGCAACAGCTATTACAGGAGTTTTTCAAGGGGAAGGAGCTGTGCAAGGGCGTTAATCCGGATGAGGCAGTGGCATATGGTGCCGCGGTTCAAGCCGCAGCCTTGACTGGAAATGGAAAGGGGGAGTTTATTCAGGACTACACTCTCAAGGACGTCGCTCCTCTGGCACTTGTTATGGGGATTGCAGATAAGAAAATCATGAAGTTGATTCCAAGAAACTCTCTAATTCCCGTGAAGAAGAATCTAGATTTGTGCACTCCTACGGATGACCAAGTTTTCATGAACTTTCCCATATATGAGAGTGAGAGTAGCATACCAGCAAATCTCAACTTTTTGGGTGAATGCAGCATCCGTGACATTCCTCCAGCTCCCAAACATGTTCATAAATACACTGTTTTCTTCGAAATTGATCCCGATGGCATCTTGAGTGTCTTTGCTGTCGATAAGTCCACTGGCCAAGAGAAAGAGATCATAATCAACCGCGACAAACCGAAGAACCCTCAGGGAATTCTGAGAACTAAGAGATGAGGTAAGAAATGATAATCTATATATGACATGCTACAGCTGAAATTGCATATATTATGAAATCAAATCAATTTGATATATCTTTACTTTGTTTACTTGTAGCAGGTTATATTGTTTTAGGGTGAAATCATGTGTTTTTTGTGATCTACTGTGAACAAGTGTTTGGAGGATGCCAAAATGGACATAAGCGACGTCGATGAGGTTGTTCTTGTTTTTGGGTCTTCTAGAGTCCCCAAGGTGCAAGATCTATAGCAGGAGGTTTTCAAGGGTAAGGATACCTGCAGCCCCAATATTCCTTACCATACCAACTATGGCCGTCCACTGTTTTCTTATTGATACTTAATTTTTACTCTTTATATTTGAACTATGTAACGTTTAGACGGTGCTAAAAATTTGAATATTTTGTTATACAAAGTGGTTAACTACATATTGGGTTCATTCAGCTGGAGCTGATATTGGGCTTGATTTCTTTGTTTGGCTTATTCGAGCTTGGTTTGCTTGTAGAATAAACAATCCAACAATCCAACTACGACACCAGAAAGAATCTGTTTTGCAATGTTGAAAAATAAAAACAAACATAAACACCTAAACATCTTTTCTCTTACCTTCTAATGTCATCAATCCACAATCACCAGAACCCTGTTAAGCCTCTGTCTAACAAAAGACGGCACATATTTTGATCTACTACTTGTATTAGGCCTGCCCGATTGGAAAGTGTACAAAACACAACAATATAGCTCTAAGATGTTCCAAACCTTAAAAGCAAAAGGTACAAGATTAGGATTCTGTAAATAAAGTTCCACTCCAAATCCATCACCATCCATACTAATGTTTTGATATTATTACATCAAAAAAATCTTTGGAAAAGTACAGAACCTACTATATGTACTTCATTATTCATCTCATCTGTTTTTTTGTGAAAGACAATTGTCGCAGTGGAGGCCATCTTGCTTGTTTTACCTTTTTTATAACATAGGATTGGGTCCTTTACCTTGTAACATTAAGTACACACACAATTATGGGCATAGACGTTCCACAAAAGTGTAAACGCTATCCTTAAACTTGTAATACTCAAATTTACAATGAAAAGGACCCTACTACAATCTTAAGGTAAGACTGGACCTTGGATTATCAAAATGGGGCCTTAACCTTGTAAACACAAGGGTTACAATATATAGGACTTCAATTATACGCTTATGGTCATAAAAGTTCAATTATACGCTTATGGTCATAAAAGTTCCATACACCAGTAAAAGCTATCATTAATCTTGTAGTTTATACTTTTTGGGTTAGTATTTACAAGACATTGCAATGTTGTTACGAGGTCTACTATAATCCTTAACATTGTAATACCCTAATTTATAAAGACAAGGAACCGTAGTACAATGATAAGGTAAGAAGGGACCTTAGCAAAGTAAAGGTGGGTCCTTATCCTTGTAAACACGGGGGTTTACAATATTTAGGACTCCCGTTATACTATTATGGACAAGGGGTTCCATAACGTTATAAAACCTATCCTTAAACTTGTATTACCATAATTTACAAAGAAAATGACCCTCAGTACAATGCTAAGGTAAGATTGAACATTTGAGGAGTAAATTAGGTCATTATCCTTGTAAACACAAGGGTTACAACGTTAAGGACTCTTATTAGACCGCAAGGGTTACAACATTAAGGACTCTTATTAGACCGGGGTGGACATATCTGTTCAATTACATTGAAACCCCATCCTTAATCTCGTAATACCGTAATTTACAACGACAAGGAACCCTAGTATAATGATAAGGTAAAAGTGGACCTCGGTGGAATAAAAGTAGGTCCTTATCCTTGTAAACACGGGGATTTACAACATATAGGACTTCCATTATACTCTTATGGACATAGGGGTTCCATAAAGTTATAAAAGTTATCCTTAAATCTATAATACTGTAATTTACAAAGAAAATGACCCCCAATACAATGGTAAGGTAAGAATGAACATTGGTGGAGTAAATTGGGTTATTATCCTTGTAAACACAAGGGTTACAACATTAGGGACTTGAATTAGACTAGGATGGACATCTGCGTTCCAAAATGTTGTAAACACTATCCTTAATCTCGTAATACCCTATTTACAAAGAGAATGACCTATCGTACAATCTTATTGAAATTGGTACTTAGGTGACGAGGGGTAAATTTAATGACACAAACAATACACAACAACACAACAATCTACACACACTTTAGATCTTGACCATATACACATATGACTAGTCAACTGCTAGCCATGAACAACCACAATCAAGAGAACACACAGAGCATGCCACAAAGTACCTGCAACCCTAGAAGATTACTAGTGATAACCTAGGCACTCAGAAGGACCCGTCAATCTAGGCATCCCCTGTGCTAGCAACAACTATGGTGAAAGTGTGTAAAATCATCATTATCAAGTAAACAGCAAACAGCAGATAAAGATGACTAGTCAACCACCAAGAACACAAACCTAGAAAAATTTACAGATATGCATAACAGAATTTGTTTACCCAGAAACCCACCATTGGGAAAAACTGGGAGTCATCAACCGACCAGGCAATCCACTAAGTAGAAAAAGATTCTTACAAAGGAAACACAACCAAGCTCAAGAAACACCTAGATCTATTTAGGAAAATGAGCTATACCTCCTTCGTGCAATCTTCTTCTCCAACTTAGCAAAACTTGAAGCTCAGTTCTTCATGGCAATGGCAGCTCCTTCACCAGCTCGTTCATCCCATGACACTATCTTGCAAGCTCCAACTCAAAACCGAAACCAAAATTTGGATTCAAAGGAGAATGACCAATTTCTTCAAGAAACCATACTCTTGAAGAAATCAATCTTGAATCTGACCTAGATATAAATGAGAGAATGATTTAAGTAGCTAGATGCAGATTCGTGTTTCAAATGCAGTTTTTCAAAATGAAATCAATTGGAAAAACTCATAGATGAAGTGTACGGTTCTCTCTTGAGGAAAAAGAAGAGAAAGATAGCAAGCCAATCTTTCCAAAACTTCCACACAAAAGAGATAGCTGCCAAAAAAGGAATTCACTAGCCTTTACAGACAAAAGAATCCCTTAGGTCAGAATGACACATGGCAGCAGAGAGAGAAAAGAGAACAGGACAAAACAGTTGGTTAACCAGCTGGGAATCCTACAGAGCAAGGATGACTAGTCATCATTTATGAAAACAAGTTTAATGCATGATATGCAATGCATGATTTACCTTTGTCAATTTGCTTGAACCTCCATAGGATAGATGATAGTTAAGAACCCTTAGAGATGCTATTCTTAATCTAAACTTTGAGCTTGATAAATACAATAAAAATCCTATTACAAAATTGTCAAGGGAAGCCAAAAGAATTAATCAAAATTCATACATTAACAATCTCCCCCTTTCTAGCTTTCCTTGACAACACACTCTCTCAAAAACACTCAACCCACAACCAAACCTAAGGAGATGATGAAATGAAGTACCTGCAAAACAGCAACCAAACTTCCAGGCACAAGACAAGCATATGATATCACAGAAATTTTAATTTTAAGCAATATGCAATATGTGCAATAAGGGGGTTGAGAGTGTTCTCCCCCTTGTTGATAAGGAAAGTGCAAAAAGGCAAGGAAGCAGAAACAGCACATAGAGGAATTAAACACAGGGCATAAAATCTGATTTTAACAAAGGTAAAAACACAAGGCATAGATTGATTACAAAGCACATAACATCTGTTCAAACCAGTACAACACAACTCCCCCTAACAAGATGCACAGACTATCCAAGCAAAAACAAGGAAACCCACAATGTGATTACAAAAATATACTTCCAACCTGCCTAAAACATACTCCCCCTATCTAGAACACCACATATTAGATCAAAGCAGCTAGAAAACAAGAGAATCATCAGAGGCATCAGAAGCAACAGAAGCATCAGAGTCCTCAGGAGCAGGAGCAGGAGCAGGCTGAGTATCCACATCAGCAGCAGTAGCAACTGTTTTATATTCAGCCACATCAGGAGCAGGCTGAATATCCACATTCTTAGATATAGAAAACGCAAATTTGTTTTCCCGTTTTGCTATAATGTATTAGTTTTATTATGCATAAACAATTTTATATTTTTTTTTCCTTGTTTTTATCCTTTATGGCCACTGTCATGAGCATTCTTCCTAACCTTTTTAGCTTTCTATCACGACCAAGACTTTCCAGCTGCTATTTTTTATTTATTGGGTTATTTACTCAAATGGTCCTCAAATTTATACTCAAGTTGCATTTTGGTCCCTCAACTAAATTATTCGTTCAAATGGTCCATTAACTCTATATTAATTGGCAAATTGGTCCTACCGTTACATTTTCTATGAATTTTAGTTATTGTTTGGGTTGTGCGTAATTCTCTCCAGATCAATTCAACATGTTGTTGTGTTTGGTCTATGGAGAAGATTTACTTATATTCGGCACATAGTTGCTTTGTACTTTTATTTGCTCATTAATAATATACTATCACTTATTTTTTAAACATAAAAAATAAACTACTTTTAACATCTAAATTATGTAAATAAAAGAGGAAGAATAAATTATTATGAATGATCTTAACCAATTCAGTTTTACTAATAGTTGAAAAGTCCAAGAAAATAAATTATGTAAATGGTGTTAGACTCGACAAGATATCACCGTCAGCAACTTGAAAATTAGCCTGGGCTATAAAATTATTTTTTTCTCGAGAGCACTACTAAAAATCTTAGTAGTTAAATTGAAAATAAATTTGCATTTTAAGGCCAAAACCAAATTACCAATTTTTTGCACCGAACCTAATACCCCTTAAAACCTTTTTGGCAGTACCTAAATTATACGGAAAAGTTTTGGTAGTGCTTGTAAAGAAATAAATAAATCGTGTCTTAGAAGGGTAATGTGAATTTTGGTTTCTGACAAATAATTTTTTAAATGAGAATATAACAATTTCACAAATTATTACTGAATATGATTGTACTGATTTTGTTCTCGAAAAATGTTGTCAAATACGTATGAGTAATGCAAAATCTTTTTCCCATTTTTGCAATACAAAAATATTTTAAGAAAATGTTACTAGATAGGTTGAGGGCAAAACGAGCTCCAGCAAATTTGCTATCTAGCTCTCTATATTTACAGAGGAGAGATAAATTGAGGGTTCTCCATTTCATCCTCTTCTCTCTCCCTAGACTTACGAGTCACAACCCTCTCTCGCCTCTTACTTTTTGATTTTTTAATGAACTTTTAATTTAGAGAGAAAGTTACAGAAATAATAAAATATTATAAATTAATCAAAATAGAGAATTATTAAAGGAAACACTTTTTAAGTAGTTTGTTATAATAGCTTTCTAACTATTTTAGCTAAAATTTTACTAAATTTAAAGACTCTCCTTGTGGAGATGTTCTTATATTATATTCGTTTTTTATATGCAAAATCGAACTGTAAAAGTAGCTTTTGTAAGATTCGCATACACTTTTATTTTATTATATATTTTTTCTGAAGAGTGATCAACGCTTTCCTTTGTATTTTTTTATTGAATATGGCCGCGGTCAGGATTTCACACTTTTTTTTGTGGACGAAAATCATGATTTCACAGAGTACTAGTCACTGTGACTTTTGCTTTTTTTAATTTTATAATATATATAGGGAGTGACTTTTGCTAATGGGTAATCCACTTCGTCCTTACCTTTTTTTGGCTTTCAATCGTGTTGATTTTTCAAATCAAAATGAATCAGCAAACTCAATGATACAGCCAAGACAACAGAGAAAAACAACCCAAGCTTTGCAGAACTTTATTACACACTTTATGTTATTGTGCAAAAGAAGTTCCACGAACACATTATTAGGTGAGGTAGGTATTTAAAGTATTTGAGTCTACCTTTGTAAGTGTCAACAATAATTAGTCTTTGAGAGAGAGAGAGTGGTCTACTTTTGTTAGTCTGTTGCCAAATACCTGTAGCGGGGTCAGGATTTCGAACTCACACCACTGGGAATTTTTTCTTTCTTCTTAGATTGAGGAGCTTTTAGAGGTCTCTCTATTTTAGGAGGTAGATAGAGAACATGGTTGGAGTTGTATTTTTTCAATTCCTCCTTAAAATTTGTTTAAGGAGGTGGTTTAGGAAGTCCATTGTGGATGCTCCAAATAATCAAAAATACAAAAACGTCATACATATTACATATATATATAAAAATCATTACAATTTTTTTGTGTATGTAATAAGTACCAAATTTTTTTGTGTGTGTACAACGTTATAACAAATCTACTTGGTGATTTTAAGCAGCAAGACACAAAAATTTAATCAACAATAAAAACTGAAGCTCTCTTGAATGTTTGCGGGAAGAAATATGTTTTTACTTATAAGATGTATGCGCTACAAATCAGGCAAGTCTTTTAGAAGCACACTCCCCCACACCCAACCCAGAGAAGAAAAAAAAAACAGCAAATCACGAAATGCACAAGCAAAAGAAGTTCACATCGACTTCCCTTAAATAATTACTTCATAGTAGATGCTATCTTAATCCTCAATATTCCCTTAAGAGCTACTTTGTTCTGTCACGCTTGATTTTGATCCCTTTCTTTTGGCCAGTGGACATATCCTCAGCAGAGACACTCAAAACTCCATTTGCGTCCATATCAAAATAAACACTGAACTTGGGAACATCCTTGGTAGCCGGAGGAATGCCATGTGATCGGTTTATAATTGTATATTATTTCTTACCCTTCTAGCTTATGATTTGGTTATGTTTTTGAGTTAAACTTGTGCTTTTAATCCTTTTTGTGTTTATCTTTCAGTTAATTGAGCTTTAGGTAACAATGATGGCTTTGGAGAACATAATTCATGCAATTCAAGCATGTTAAGGCCTAATTTGGATGAATTGATGAAGAGCTTAAAGACAAATTCATTATGGCTACAGCCCCCTGCCAGTCCAGTTCCGTAGGTCATATTGCAAGCTTTGTTTCAGCAACCTACATAGCTCGGATGAGGCCACATTCTTCATGAAAGTTGCTCCAATTGGTGTGTACTATAACATATCCAAAATTCAGCCCCATTGGATAAATCTGGAGTCCGTTACCTAGCAAACACAGAACCATGCTCAGGATGGATCTTATCAGCGCGGAAAATGAGTTAGCAATTTGTTTCGGCCTTAACTTCTTCCTCAGACCTTGGATTGGCCCAAATAACATATGGCTGGAAAGAAGACATTCGGAACTT